CATAGGGAGCAAGTCTTGCATGGTTAAGAACAGACTTCATCTCACTCTGTAAATGTTTCTTCATTCAGGTTGTCTTGTCTGGCTCTCCTGTCTAAGAGTTAGATGCTTTGTTTGTTTCTGTTATGGCACAAAGATGAGGCACCAGGAAGCCTTGGGATTATAACCTAAAAGGGCCTTCAAGATCACATTTCTAAAGGTCAGAGACTAAGGCAATAATTCCAAGTGTCACTTGGCCCTCAAATGAGCTTTCATTGTGATGGATTATGACATAATCCATTGACATGATAAGGTACCTATAATGTTACAGAGGCAGTTGGCTGAAATAATAGGATTTTTTTTTTTTTATGATCACAGTGGTGAGTCTTTCATGTATTACTGGCTTCATAGGATAGATAAATATAACTTCTATTTGTTGGGACTCAGAAAACTGTAACTGTGCCCCCAGAGTAGGGTACCTTGCCATGCTGAGCATGGTGAATTGACAACAATTGCAAGTTCTCAGAACATGGAATTAAGATCTCTCTGACCTTGTCTGTCCTCCTCCTCCTCCTTCCCTCTCCAGCTCACTTCCTCTTCCCCCTTTACATTCCCTTCTCTAAGGAAGTGTCTCCCCCAACCCCAAAAAGAATTCACCAGAACCAGAGGAATGTGTGTATGTGTTTCCTTCTAACAGGAAGTTTGATAAATACATATGATATAAAAAGCCTCATCAAATAAGGGGAAACCCTATTTTGACTTTCTTTGTTTCTATGAGACTCAGCACTTTGTACACTGGCCTAAAAGGGTTAGTGTCCTAGATTGCATTGCATTGCTGTGATAAATACTGGCCAATCAGCTCTAGGACAGAAAGGGTTTATTTCATCTTACAGGCTACAGTCCACTGTCAAGATCACTGAGGCAGGAACCTGGAGGCAGGAACGGTAGCAGAGACTCTAGGGGAGCCCTGGCTTCCATGGCTTGTTGTTCAACCCAGGACTACCTGCCCAGAGATGGCACTGCCCACCGTGGGATGGACCCTCCTACATCAATCATTAATCAAGTAAAAGCCCCAGAGATAGGCCTACAGGCCAATGGGATGGAGGCAATTCCTCAATTAAAGTTCCCTCTTCTGAAGTGACTCGAGTTTGTGTCAGGTTGACAAAACCTAACCATTACAGTTAGTAATTAAAAACAAACAAACAAAAACCAACCAATCTGTCAGTGTTGGAGCGAGAGCTCATTGGATAAGAGTGTGTGCTGAGTTTGGGTCCCAACACCTATTGAAAAATCCCCCAAGGTACAGTGTGTTTGTAACCCCAATGTTGGAAGCCTTTGGGTGGCGGCAGGGCACAGAGACAAGAGGATGGCTGGAGCTTGTTGACTGCCCAAGCGTAGAGTCAGGTTCAGAGAAAGATCCTACCTCAAAAGCAGCGAGTCAGACAGTGACAGACTAGGATACCTGTCCTCCTCCTCTGGCCTCTGTGTACAACTCACCCACGCTCAAGTGCACATTTATCAGATTTATAACACACACATACACTTTAGGGTCATATATATTGCTGAATGATTGCAGAAAACCCAAAGTTGGTGACACTCTCGCCAGTGGGCCACGTCCACTTTGCCCTGGGTGTGGACCCTTGCACCTGCGTTTAAATCTAAGTTGAAGCACTCTTTTTAATCTTAATTAATAAACTGCACTTTACTTCATAACCGCCTCCATTTCCCCTTAACCCCAAAGTTTGCTTTTTGAAAAAGTTAAATATTGTTCCTGTCTCCTGAGAATAGCAATGCAAAGTTGGGGCACTTGTGCACAAAAATGGGTCATTATTTCATTGTTAACCTTTTTTCCCTTTTTTCCTTTTTCTTTTTCTTTTTCTTTTAATCTCAGCAAGTCTTTGACTCTTAGAGAAATTGAACATTCTCTTGCAGGGCGCAAAGCCTTGTAGCCAAATTTCTGCTCACAACTCTCACTGACTTTCAGGCACCCAAAGGTGGCAGGAAAGGCTTTACCAGCAGTAGGAGCAAAATCTGGAGTAAAATGGCAGAGAATCAAAGAGTGAATAACTTTCGAATCGCTTTGTGCTTTGTCTTTGATTTCGTTCTGCAGACGCTTCTGCGGCAAAGTCAGGCTTGGTGAAGCCGAGCTTAACAACAGAAAAACGGCAAGAGTGAGGTGAAGGGATTGATGGGAGCGTGGCTTGTTCCGAAGACCCATCAGTACTTTAAAACAATCTGTGTTTAACATGGCAAATTGTGTGTCATTAAAATGCTAATGAGACGGTAAACAGCTGCTAAGTTTTTATGCTAATGAATGGTGGAAGCTAAGTAGTTCTCCAGCCTCCTGTCTATTAGCATAGAGATGTGATTGGGTAAGGAGGATTGCGGAACAGTCTGACCTTCGTTGATGGAGCAGTCTGTTTGTGAGTTTCCCCACTGCATTCCGTTTGATTTGAGTTTGTTAGTACAGAGTGACTCTCACCAGGCCCTGGGGGCCTCTGTATTACACACTGTTATCACAGCCACCATGGAGGCCTTAGAGATGAAGCTTGGCTTCCCTTTCAGAGACCAACAACCACAAAAGAGTTGTGTTTGTTCAGTAGGCAACTTAGATTAATACTACCTACTTACCCTTTGTGCTTTAGAGTTCTAATAATTATGGTGATAAATTACTAAAGGCCATTTTCTCCAGCTTTCAATTTAGCTACAGTGTTAAAACAAGTCCTTTCAGATACGCCTCTGCGACATTTGATGCAATGATGTTATACATCATCTTGGATCTTCAGGCTTGAGGTTAGCAATGGAGATAGCATTACCTGATTAGGAGAATGATCTGTAATTACGTGCCAGTGGTATTTACATACCAGTCCAAACCAGATTACTTAATTGAGCATCAGGAAAACAAATCACTGTTCTGTCTATACTCCTGGCTGACTCTCTGTACTGAGTCCCCATAAGTATTTCCTAATGGCTGTGACTGATCCGAATGACTATTACAGATAATACTTCAGATGCCCTTTTTCTCTTATTTCTTTTCCTTTTTTGATATATATTTTTAAAAGATCAGTGTAAATGAGCTATGACACTCTACTCAACACTATTGCCAATACTAGCCACAACTGACTGGCCACATGCCACCAGTTTCTTCGGAAACTCATTACCAAACAGTTTATCACTGAGGCGGGAACTTCGGTAATTTGGGGACACTGTAAGAGGCTGGCAGACACTTTAATAGTTGGGGCATTTTCTCACACTCCTCATTTCTCCCTCACGCAAGTGAAGGATTCTAGGCATGAAATTATTGTGTGATCCAAGATAGGCAGGCCAGGGGGAACTGAGGCCTCATGTTGCTGCCCAGCCCTCTTCAGAATGCCCCCAAAGGACAACTAATCCAAATGCCCATGATCTGATAAATGAATATGCAAAATGTGGGACATTCCCACAGTAGGACAGCAGCATTCAGCCTTGAAAAGGCACCGTACCCTGATGTGTGCTACAATATGAGTAATCCTTGAAAGCATTAATCTCAAACAAACGAAGGCAGTTACAAAAGACATGGAAGGTTTTATTTAAACGGCATGTTCTGGACAGCTAAATCTGTATATAGAGAAAATTGATTGGTAGTTGTCAGAAGCTAGGGATGCTGGGTGAAATGGGAAAGGGGCTGCTGCTACGTGTAGAGTTTAAGTCATGAAAATGTTCTGCATGTGAAGATGATGTTCATTTACCACTCTGAATATGCCAAAAAAAACCTGTTCAATTTACAGTGTAAGTGGGTGAATTATCTGATATGTAATTAGTATACATACATACATACATACATACATATATACATATATACATGGGACTGTGTACAGTGTACATAATAGCTCAGTAGATAAAGTATTTGCCATGCAACCATGAGGACTTGAGTTTGATCCCCAGCACCCACATGAAAGGCAGCCAAGGTGGTACACTCTGGGAGACAACTTTTGCAATCTCAGCTGGGGAGGCAGAGACAGGGGGATCCCTTGGGCCACTGGCTGCCAGCCTGCTAGATCTGCAAAGCCCCGGTAAAACACCCTGACTCAGAAAACAAGATGATGGGTTCCTGAGAAATGACACTTGATGCTGACTTCTGGTCTCTACATATGTGGGTACACATGCGCACACATACCTGCACAAGCAGGCATGCGCACACACACAAAGCATGCCAGAGCCTGTCTCCCAGAGAGCCAACCAGGCCAGCAAATGTATATAGACTCTAGACTGCTGATCACCAGGAGGAAAGCCAACATCATTCTAAATCACCGAGTCCTGAATTAAACCAGATACCGAAGGAAGGAAGGAACAGCTAATACAACTATTCAAGGGGACAGGTGCCCAAAGAACACAAGTTCATTAGGTATAAAAAGTAAGACACAATGATGAGTTCCTGTCCCCAAACTCCATGTCTGCAGGCAGACCATAACCCACCTTCTTGTGTTCTCTAGCCATCCCAAGTCTAGACTCCCTCTTTCCCCTAGAGTAAGGAAAATTTTGTGATCATTTTCAAGACAACGAATTGAGTCATAACGATAGCCAATAACTGCCAAAGTCCAAGGTTTCCTTCCTCATGAAACCCCCCCAGTAATTATCTCTGATTTGCATAAAACTTGCTGCTGCCTGTTTACTCCCAATAGTAAAGAGCACCTTGAGAGGCCCTCCCTTTACTCTCCAGCAGTTTGTGGGGTCTCAAAGATGCCAGGAGGGTTGGACGCCGGGACGTTCACCTGACGCCACACCTGCTGGTGGAACCTGGAACGGTGTGTCACCTGACCCTGAGAAGCCCTTGGCTTATGCACGGGGAAGTATTCTGCATGTGTCTCAGTCCACAAAGAGCTCTTTTTGACAATATTTACCAGGTGCTTGCCTCTGTGACTCTTGTGTTTTGACGGTCACAGCTCAGCAGCCTTGCGTTGGCCCTGAGTGCTTGGGAGGGAAATGGATGTGAGTGAGAGACTGAATTTGTTTTGTTTTGTTTTGTTTTGTTGTGTTCTTGGCAGGCAGTGCATGCCACACTACTACCCTCCCCACTCTCGTGCGCACACCCACCCTGATGATGCAGCCTTCGCTGGACATCAAGCCATTCATGTCTTTTCCAGTGGACAGCAGCTCTGCTGTGGGACTCTTTCCAAATTTTAACACAGTGAGTAAATGCATTTTTATTTTCCTTATGCCTCTGTACTGCAGTCTCCTTTCTGTCACGACATTCCCAGGTAGACCATGGCTAGAGTCTGTTTCCAAAGTGTGTGTGGCGGAGGTTCTACCTCTCGGCTGTGCTGTGGAAAAATGCCTCACTCATGGAACTCAACCCAAACGATAGGCAGCCTGTGGGCTTTACTAATGTCTCCAGAGATGATTCTCACCTGTTAACGGTGTCCAGTTTGGATGAACTTCACATGGCTTTACCTTCTCTGTTCTTCCTGAGGCCCTGTTCAGGTGTGTTCAAGGGCACACAATTTAGAGACATCGAGCCACATTGATTTTTTTTTTTTTTCAATTTTTACTGTGAAGAAAACTAAAAGCAACAACTGTGGGATTTGTCTCTCTGGGTGCCTTTTTATTTGGGAGATGTGTTAGATAAAATATGACTTTCATCTAGACATAGTTTTTCTTTGGGAGCTCTTGTGAGTTATTGAATCTGACTCTGACGAGAAAGAAAGATATTCATTTGAAATCTACATATTAATTTTCTATACAGTGTGTAGCGATTCCCCCATTAAACATACATAACACTAGTGAATTGCTCGCTCTGACCAGCATATTCATGTCAATCGCCCAACTTCCTTTTATTTGAACGAAAGGCATTTCATAGACATGCCCAGTAGAGCTGATATCAGCAGGATTCTGGGTAGATTGGAAACTGCTAGCAGGAGAAAGGTTGAACACTGAAGGGAAGGCATGGATTACATCTGCACCATAGATAAATGCGTTTGGTGGGGCAGGACGGTAGTCCTGAACAGGAACATTCTAGATGCTGCCATGATCAAAACAAATAATCGTGTTATCAACAGCACCAGACAGTGTGCTTTGCAGCCCTGCCAGATGTCCCCTCTTTGCAAACTTATCTCCTGCAGAAGTGAAAAAAGCAAGAGGGTTTTTCCTCGAGGGTTGTAAATAGAATCTGTTGACAAGCCTTCTGTTGGGTCCCAGTGCCGTATGGTAATCAGCAAGTGAAGGACCATACAGCTTTGGAAAGGCTCTGCCTTTGACTGGCCGAGTAAATGGTTGAATGTTTCTCTTTTCTTTTCTTTTCTAGCCAAAGCCAACAGGCTTTTTTGTTGGGTTTGGTTATTGTTTTAAGGCATGAAAAGGTAAGCACGGTTTCTAATCCAAAGGAACATGGAAATTAGATCAATCAGGGCCCATCTTGGCCACGTGAATCCATCACAAGTGAAAGTGACCCTCCCAAAGTGAGCCTGTCACTGAATCTGCAGTCGTTCCGAACATCACACTGTACTTCGGATGTTTTCTAGGTATTTGTGTTTGGGTCACCTTTTGGCTGTGGACTGCAGCACAAGGGAGGGGCTGTTGATAAGCAGCCTGGGTGAGGAGCAAGCTTAAGTGTTTGCCTCTGCTTTGACGTTTTAACTCGTCTCACACGTGATTGTCAGAACAAGTAGCATGATTTTTTTTTTTTAAATTTGCCCACAGGAGATTATAGCTGTCTTACAAACATGTTCGGCTTCTAAGAAAACATTAGCACTCAAGGCAACATGAAAACTTCATTCTCTGCCCCATCACACTCTACTCCCTTTACTAGGAATATGTTGTCACAGCTAGCCCCTTCGTCCCGGCTCCTTCCAACGCCTCACACCTAACAGATACTCAGTGATGTTCTAGAGGCCACCGTTGTCAATTTTCAAAATGTCTTGCATGCTATTGCATCTAGGTTTTTAAAGGCTGTTAAACAAAAATAGAATGAATGCTTTCACAAAGTTCTTTCTTAACATAAATGTAAAATTTACATTGGCTTATTAGTGTTGCACAGGGCTCACAGATGCACTGACATGTCATATTACTTATTTATTGTGCAAAACAATATTACACTGTATTGATAAAACTCAATGAATATTCTTTTTATAATGTTTTTTTCTTCTTAGAAGAAAATAAGCTCTAAAATTTTCAAATGCTGATATTACTTGATTACTACAGTGAAGAAATTGCAAGAAAACCTATCAGAAATACTGATTTTGCTCAGTTTACTAAATCCAAGTCATGCCCCTTTCTAATACTCTATGAAAAATTAAGTCAGCCCTAATGGGACTTCTCTTATCTTGTTGGGCATGGTGGTGCACACCTATCCAGTGCCAGTGGGGCTGAGGCAGGAGGATCTTCAGTTGAAAGTCAGCTTGGGCTCCATAGTGGAGCCCTCTATCAAAACATGCACAGATGCACACATACACACACACTTGCACGTACATGGAGGAGGGATGAGTCTCAGTCTCTCTCTCTCTCTCTCTCTCTCTCTCTCTCTCTCTCTCTCTCTCTCTCTCTCTCTCTCTGTGTGTGTGTGTGTGTGTGTGTGTGTGTGTGT